TCCCAGTTTCTCCTATGTATACTTTTCCGCAGGAGCAAGGAATCCTGTACACTTAGAAACACCAGGTGTATACAGGATTCCTTGCTCCTGCGGAAAAGTATACATAGGAGAAACTGGGAGAAAGATCAGTACACGAATTAAGGAACACCAACGGAGTGCCAGGTACTGCTATTTTAGTCAATCAGCCTTGGCAGAAATTGGATGAAGACGGGATACTCGGTACAATACGACAGAGCAACCAGACTAGCCTCCTCGCAAAGCTATTCGCCAGGAAACATCGTGAAGCCCTAGAAATTCTGTAATATCCCGACAACTCAACCGTGACAAAGATTATCAAACAAACCCTATTTAGCACACTACCCTTAATATACACTCACATCACTAGGCGGCGTCATAACGGAATACTTTTCCGTAGATGAAAAACCTCCCATAATATATATGAGGACCATAACCCAAGAAAGCTCAATATCGGAGCTCTCAGCCCTGAAGATGCAAACTGCAACGTTTGCGAAATGGCATTACGCTGTTAAACCACGCGGCATCCATCCGGAAACCTTTTGCATAATAATTCGCTATTATTTGTGTTTGAGCCTATTTTTTTATTTAGCAGATCATAATCATAAGTTTCAAATAATCAAGTTTCATATATAAGAAAAATCAGCTGATTTTATCAAGATCTAATTTTATATAGGGTTTAATGCAAGATTTTTTAAATCTAAACTTTGTAATAAAGCATTTATAGCCAAACTTCATATAACATTTTTTTTTATTTTCACTTGTAGAATATGCTGTCACAATTTATCGGTTAAATTATGGGCCATCCTGTATGTATATACAATATATATATGTATGTCGTCATAATAATAAGATTAATAAGCGATTCTTTCTGAGATATATATACACGTCCATCGGCCGTGAACATCCGTTTCCATTTATATATCTCAATGTCAGTTGTGTTTATATTTATATGCTGATATAACGATAGTCATACATAAGAGATATTCCACTTTTTCTCTACACGCATTTCAATATATATCGCTTTATTTCGCATTAACATTACAAAATAATATTACTGCCGGACAATAACCATTGTGGGTCAATTTATAAACCAAAAAATGCAATTAACACGTTTTATTTTTTCGAGTCTCTATTTCTGAAACTACCTCTGTAATTTTTACCGAGTTATCATATGAACAAACGTTCTATGTTTTCGTAAATTCTGCCAATTAAGATCTGGTATGTAACTATTTCAAAATTATGTAGTTTGGATCTTGCGCTGACACCCTATTCTATATAATCAGATATTCATAAAGAGCAAGAAATTCAGTGTCTTTAACAAATCTGTATATATAGTATATAATAAGAGTTGATTGAAATCAAAGAAATATTAGTTTTAAGACTATACTTTAAAAAAATATTTTTTATTGCTATTAAGGCTTATAAAAATATATATATATATATATATATATATATATATATATCATTGTAACATGTTAATGATTAATGAATAGCTTATTGGTGATGATGGATAGTATTTTGTGCGCAAAAAGCTCTTGTACGGGATATACTTAGTGCATTCTGTACTTATTATTTTTAGTATTTGGCTAATTTTAAACAGAGTATTATACACAGAATGGATATATATATGTATATATATAGTTTAATAAGTAAAAATTAATGGAAAGAGAGTACTATTGTGCCGTACTCTTTGGACCAAATGAAAAATTTGATGATAGTAAAAAAAAGTCATTCATAGAGTAAGAAAACAAAATTTTGTATTTGAAAACAATAATTTGAGAATTGTATTACATTTCAAACGTCTAGTCAAAACACATCTGTCGGATCATATATTTCAATACGGCGAAATAACAAAATATAATTTTATGATGTATAATTTGATAGTTTTATACAAGTTGTATAATATGAGTTTCTTTTCCTATTGTTTAAGAAATAATTTACATTTGTTTTGTTCTTCGTTTCAATATAATTAATACGCACAAGTTTCACTATGTTGTGTTCAAATATTAGAAAAGGTATATAAGATGGGATAGGAGGGATTTGTGAAACGAGAATAAATATTGTATTTGTGAATTTTGAAACTCAGCATAGAAAAAATAATTATGTAAAAGGATGAATATGTGTGACAAGAAAATCAAGATACATGTTTTACCACAATTTTCCGCAAAATTTAATCACGTATCACACAATCAAAAATTCGTGTGCTATCTTCGAAAAATTAATACATCTTGACTGATCTCGATTGGATTGAATAAGGCATTATACTACAGGGTGTTCCATAGGAAATTGTTGAAAATAATTAGCTGTTATTTTTAATGCATGCATGTATTTATTGAGAAAACAAAAATTGAAAATGTTGAAAAGAGAAAAGTCTACAGTTTTTAATGGATTTAAATAAAATGTTTGTATACCAGTTTATTTTATTGAAAAAAGTAATGAAAAAAGTGCTAATAATCACATATGTAAACTAATGATAAATATTTTCGAAGTGCACACCATTTGAATTTGTACAAAATTCTGTTCATTTACGAAAACTTGTAAAAACTTTTTCTAACATATTTTTAATATTATTGACGATCCTTTTAATAGCTTTTATTAATAGCTTTATTAAATCTGGCACTGTTAAAAATATTTATCATTAGTTTATGTGATTTTATATAATTATTAACACTTTTTTAAATTACTTTTTGTCGATAAAATAAACTGGTATACAAATATTTTATTTATGTATTAAAAACTGTAAATTTTCCTCTTTCCAATACAATTTTTGTTTTCTCAATAACTGCATGCATGAAAAAAATGATAGTTATTAGTTTCAGCAATTTTCTATGGGACACCTTGTATATCGTATTTTTATTACAAGTGTATTTCCTGACTTTGTAAAAAGGATGTATATCTATATTATATAGTATTGGTAATCTGTGTAGAAGGAGAAAAAAGACCCAAATAGCAAGCACACGTCATTTTAACGTCGAATGACGTCAAAATGATATCATTTCGACGTTTAATAACGTCAGTTTGCTTCTTTAGGGGAATATTTAGACAAATTGTGGGAAAAAGTTGCAATGTGTGTTTGAAGAAGAAGAAAATGAGAGAAAAGGGATAGTTGCAATGTTAGATTAATGATGTGATATAAAAATATATAATTACGGTGCGTAAATTATATTAAAAAAATTATACTTTAGTGTATATAACACGATCCATTAAATTTATCGACGGATATTATTATAATTGATCGTTCCTGTATAATATGTTATAACCAGACTTGAAATTCATAGTTTATGTATCGGCTAATGTCTCCTCTGCATGGAAAGATACTTTTCCTTCTTTAACAGAAATTATATGTTTATTACAGAGATATTTGTTAACTTTTCGTGTATAACTTCTATGCGAAATTTTTAACAAAGATGATACTGCTCTTGAAACTCAAGACTGGCTATAACTATGTTTAACTGTATATTCTGTGTAAATATCGCATTATATTTTAAAATTAAACTTAGAGTTGTATACATATATAAAAATTATGTGATAATAAAGTATATATAATCCTTAACAATCATTTTTACACTGATCTCTGTATAACACTGGTGGCGTATTTAATATATAAGATATATAACGTGTTACGAATTGACAATCGGGCAGTCATTTTTAATAAAATATGCTATAAATGTATATATTTTATATTTTAATTTAAATGAATGATACCCCTAAGTTCGAAACTTTTATGTCGATGTGTTAATTTCACACACCAAAAAATGCATATTTTACTGTATTTGAAGATCATTGCTGGACCTTCAAAGCGTAATACGCTTTTTTCATTTTTTTCATAGTATACGCTATCCAGTGTTATATAGAGATCAGTGCATTTTTATATCTATATATATGTATGTATATATATATATATATATATATATGTCTATAACAATCGCGATCTAGAAATTGCCCTTGGGTGGCATTTTTCAAGGCCATTTAAAGGTCAATTTATTTTTTTAAAATAAAACTAATTTTGTATATAAATCGATTTCTCGCAATTAAAAATTATAAAGAATAATATATATACTTATAAGGGTGATCTAGAAATTGCCCTTGGATGACATTTTCCAAGGTCATTTAAAGGTCAACCTAGTTTTTAAAATAAAGCTAATTTTTTTATATAAATCGATTTCTCGCAATTAAAAATAATAACGAATAATAATTCTGAGACAATTGACTCTCGACAAACAAAGCAATTTATAACTCGGTGACGTAGAAGGCGCTCGATGTTGAAGGAACATGTAACATTGACATGTATAATTGTGCAGCGCATCTATTTTTTTAGGCTAATGTATCAAGTGAGATTTGATTTAATGACGTAGCACGACATTATTATAATCGGGGAATTCTAATGCCCGTAATTATATATATTTCGCGATATGGCACGCGACAACGAAACAAGTGCACTTGAGTTGCATATAAAGGGTAAATATATATATATATATATATATATATATATATATATATATATATATATATATAAATATATATATATATTTATATTTATATTTATATTTATATTTGAAAGATATTGTATACAAGAATATAATATATTTATATTATATTTATATTTATATTTGAAAGATATTGTATACAAGAATATAATATATTAATAAAATATTCTAGATAGTTTTTAAGGTATAATTTTTTTCTTTTTTAGTAAACAGGCAAAATTTATCAACGATCTCGGAAAAATATAATATCGGCACATTACGGTAAGCATATTTTAAATTATTAATTATTTGTTAATTATTATTTAATTAATTATTTATTAATTATATACGCGATATATCGCGCGTATGTATTATTAAATATTAAATAATAATTGTGAATAAGCGATGGTAAAATTTTTATTCGCTCTCTTCAACAACAACGATTAGACCTCCTTCCGATCTGTCATGGCCTAAATACCTCTACGTCGTTTAAATCATAACGTCGATGATATTATCGAACCTCCGTGTATGGTTACTGTAATAGGAACTCCTAGAAAAAATCGCAGTATAATGCAAGCTGGTACGTGTCAGTAAGTATATTTTTCAAGTTTAATTTTAATTAAATATTGATATATATATATATAATAAAATTAAATATTGAAAAATAATATAGAGCGATTTATTTTAATTAAAAAAATATAATTATTTTTAAGAGGAGATGAGAACTTTCACACAAAATTGGGCTATTAAATAGAAAAATTTTTGAGGGACTTAAAATTCTTTATTCGATAGCCAATCACGTTACATTGAGTATATTTGTACTTTCTTGCTAAAAAGTTCTCAATATATATATAGCTGCTAATTGTAAATTACATATATATTTTCTTAAAAAACAACTGTTTTTTATCAATTAATTTCTTTCATTATTTTGTGTATAAAATTATATTGAGGTAAGATATAAAAAAAAGGAAAATATATATATATATTATATAGAAATATTAATTTTATAAATATTGTAATTAAATCTAAGAAAATATCGCTTATATATATTCTACACACACACACACACACACACACACACACAATATAAATATATATATATATATATATATATATATATATATATATATATATATATATTATATATACTCTTGTTTTTTCTGTTTCCTTTTTATTTCAGACACACTAGATCGAAATTGAATCAAAAGTATGAAATACCCACGCACATACCGAAAAGATTGCCTGGTTCTATAGATCCACGTTTTAAAAGGTATATTATATTCTAATTAATTTTCTCATTAAAGTCCGCGTTTTTGAGCTACGGATTCTTTTATACGATATGAAAAACAGGCCTGCATAGTTTTAATGTTTGAGAGCAAATGAAATGGTTTCTTAAATAATTTTGTGCGTCTGAATCCGAATCTGGCTTCAGAATTGGCCCATATCACATCAGGTTTTCAAGATAAATAAGATCAACAAAGGTGGCAATAAAAATAACAATGTTTTGGCTAACTTTTATACATTTTATTTTATGTAGACACCAATATTTTTACATATATTTATAGGCGCAAAATTACGTAGAAAAACTACTTCATTTGATCAAATATGTTTTAAGATATGCACCAAATATATGATTTTATCTTGTATAATTTTGATCTGTGTTTGATATTAACATATTTCATATTGTAATTAACATACAATTTGTAACGTGATAATACAGACCGATATCGACGCGACAGAAGGCCGAGAAGTCAGATGAATCTTATTGTGACACAATGAAGAATGGCAAACAAATGGTGGAAATGAATATGCATGCTTTGCAAGAACTTAAGAAGTCTGAAAATAGATTGCAGAGAACGATTGAAAATATGGACAATTGTTATAATACAAATAAATTATTAGAAAGTGTTACGAAGGAAGAAATGACCATTATTGATTGTCCTATTAAAAATGAACAATTTGTTTCGGAAGCCGATCATCGTAAAACAGGTAAAATATAAAAGTTTCATCATGTACGATTACGTATGTTAAATTATTCAATTAATCTTCTAATAGTATAATTATTCCAAATCTATTTTAGTAAACTTGCAACGTGTTATTAATGAACAATGCAATCTCGAAGATAGATTTCCTCAAGTACAAAAACAAGTGAGTGCCGTGTTTATATATGAAATCGTGATCGGCATCGTTGGCATTGAATACTTAAACCTCATTTTTTAACATACATATTATATATATATATATTTATTTATTTATTTACGTCCAGAAGACTGGCAGGCCGTTACTTTTAATGGTCGATGAAAAAAAGATACACGCCCTCCCGATTAACATAGACGCTGCTTCATGTTATAGCGTGCAAATTCCTGTAGTTGCCTATCATAATGTACCTATACAAATACCAAATATACCGGTACAAAAGCAAAATGATATTAAACTTGAGTGCCAAAGCGATAGCACGAAAAATCTAGAATCCCCTGTTATTGACAATATCTATGATGCAACATCAATGTTGTCCAATTTGACTTCCGGTTCCAAGGAACATGAAAATGACAAATGTCCACTTAAAAGTAACGAATTATTTTGACAATTTTTGTATCGCTTCGTAACATCGTGACCTAGAATTGTCTTTGAGTGGTATTTTTCAAGATCATTTAAAGGTCAACCTAGTTTTCTTAATAGAATCATTCTTATATATATATATATATAAGAATGATCGGACTATGATGTCAGTTTGCTACTTGGATGACAGTATATATATATATATATATATATATATATATATATATATATATATATTACAATATGTTCAAAAAATAAAAAGATCTTTCAAAGATCTTGTACAATACCACCCGCAAGTAGCATCTTCTTCTTCTTTCTTCCTTTCCATGGCAATGAAACGTATATATATATATATATATATATATAGAATTGTCTTTAAGTGGTATTTTTCAAGATCATTTAAAGATCAACCTAGGTTTTCTTAATGGAATCATTCTTTTATATATATATATATATATATATAGAAGATGCTACTTGCGGGTGGTATTGTACAAGGTCTTTGAAAGATCTTTTTATTTTTTGAACATATTGTAATATATATATATATATATATATATATATATATATATATACTGTCATCCAAGTAGCACACTGACGTCATAGTCCGATCTTATATTTAAAATCGTCTTAAGTCCGAACTTAAGACGCCACGCAGCCATTTGATTGGTTGAACGGGATCTTAAGTCAACCTCCGACTAGATTTAAGACGGTCTTAAATATAAGATCGGACTATGAATACGGGCCATTAAACATCAAAATGACATCATTTTAACGTCTAATATGATGTTATTCAACGTCAAAATGACGTATACATATAAGTTACCTGGGCATTCAAAGGCACAATTCTAGTTGTAAGAGTCACGATATTATAACCCCTTGAAATCCTACAATTCTTTTGTTCGATACATTTTTAAAATGAATCATTCTGTATATACCCAAAAATCTATCATTTTTTATAGGCATTCCAGAACATAATGTAAAGACCGACAATATTTCCCATTGTGAAACCTCCGATTGGATACACGATAAGGAGAACGTTAACTCGAATGTATCGTTGAATCAGGATACGTTACTCGATAAAAATCATCATGAAAATGTTAATACGACGGATGATGCGAAAGATGGCGGAAATACCTTAAACTTGTCTTTCTTAGGAAGATTAAGAACTGTCGTCGAACAAATAGGTGAAAATTGCAATACAGACAAGAAAGCATTGAACGAAACGGGAATAACGAAGATCTCACCGCGTCCAAATAACAGAATGGAAACGGAACAGAAGCTTACCTGCCGCGAAAAAACTAGCCCGTTAGATGAGTTGTCAAACGTAATGAATAACAAAACCCTGAAGAGAACGCCGATCAATTTGTCTCGAAAGGCCAAGTCATTCTTTCGGAAGAAATCCCGTTTGGCGATCACGGATTCCGATTGCACTCTGATCCTGCCCGGTTCTCGCCTTCACGTTAAAGGTAAACAATACGAGAGAACCCGCTTGAAGGTAAGTCAGCTGTTGCGTAAAAAAACGGAATAAGTGGTACGAATTCTAATGTAGTGCGAATGAATAAGTCTGATAACGCGAAACAAGCAGGTCGTCGAATGAACTCTCTTTCGTTGACGAATCTGCAAGCCAAGGGGGATCCATTCGAAGAACCGTCGTCCATCCCTCTGGAGACCCAGGAATTGTTGAATCAAAGTTACTGGGAATACTATTGGAGGCTCAGACGTAAGATCGCGTCGGCTGATAAACCGGATAACGCAGGAGAGAGAGATAAATCGCGTCCGAGCAAAGAATCACGAGAACGTTTACCGGAATCTCAAACTCTACAACAATGTTCCGTGCTCTCTTGCATGATCAATACAGTTCTTCGAGATTCGACAGCTGTCGATGGCAGATCGTCCTCGGATCCGATCGTTTCGACGTTTGTCGCGCGCGAGAACATTTGCCACGAGAGTTCCGGAGTGTTTGCGAAGAAAGTGAAACGAAGGAAAACGACGAAGCGAGTGAGCAAACGATTGCTCGGACTTAGAATTATAGGTATACATATTAAGAGTATGTATGTCCATTACAATAAGATTGATTCGAAGAGTAGAAATAATCGACCAAAACTAGCGTAATATTTTGTTTATTAAATTCACTACGTTTCGACCATGTGGTTGTGGTCCTTTTCAAGTTAATTATATATTTTAGTTATTATATTTTAGTTAATTATATATTTTAGTGTTCACTTGAAAAGGACTACAACCACATGGTCGAAACGTAGTGAATTTAATAAACGAAATATTACGCTAGTTTTGGTCGATTATTTCTACTCTTCTATTCTTATAACTAGTGACAAGGATTAATAATTTGGAAAGATTGATTCGTTTTAATCTTCCAAATATATATATATATATATATATATTAGAAAATATATTAGGCAAAAGATTTTGAGAGGGACAATATTATAACGAAGAATTGCCCTTGAATGGCGTTTTTCAAGGTCAATCAATTTCTTTACACAAATCGATTCCTTGTAATTATTAATATTCGGTATAGAAATTATAAGAGTACAATGACCAAAAAATGATAGTTTACGAGAGATATATTTTATACTTTAACTTTAAATTTTAAAGCCACAATCTCCACTTGATTCCTCTCGACCAATAGAGCCAAACGCGATGTTATTGCGACAATTATGAAGGAAAGAACATTTTGGAAAGGAATTTGAATCCTATGGTTGGGATCTCAAAAATTCCCCCTGTTCCTTCTCTTAACATCCCCTGTAAAGAAATAGGCGAGAAAAATATTGGTCCGAAAGTCATAGGATTCAAATTGCTTTCCAAAATGTTCTTTCCTTCATAATTGTCGCAATAACATCGCGTTTGGCTATTGGTCGAGAGGAATCAAGTGGAGATTGTGGCTTTAAAAATTAAAAGAGCTGACTAAATAAGTATTCGCATTATTTAAATTTTAATTTTTACATAAACTATATGAAATATATATCTCGTAAAAATATTCATTTTTCAATGACCTTATCTCAATACTTTTATGTACAAAATAATTAAATAAATCAATTGGTATAAAGAAAACCAATTGTTTTTAAGAAAAAATATATACTTGTTAATTATACACTTTATATTTTAAAAAAATTATAGAATAGTTTTATTAAAAAAATTAAGTTGACCTTTAAATGATCTTGAAAAATTGTCCAAGGACAAATCTAGTTAACAATATATGTATATTATTCCTCTCGAAATCCTAAAACTTTTATCTGATATATATATTTTCTTTTAAAACGCTAATTTCCTAATATTTGCCTATTAAGTTTAAAATAAATCTGTATAATGAATGACGTACGATAGCTAATTCCTTTTTCTATTCAAAGAAAATCAAAGTGTACTAAATTCTTCTTACTCTAGCCTTACTCGGTACCATGATATATTTCGCAGTCATATTTCTGCCTATGATGTACGATTATTTCTTTGACGAAGAATACGATAACAATTATGAGAATGCGAATTACATCGGACTAGCACTTCAATACGTTATATCATCATTCGGAGAAGCCTTCGATGGAATTGTTGATATCTTGAACACGGTTCTTTTACGTCCAGTAAGATTCGGTCGAACTTTATTATAAAACTTAAAATTTTAAAACCATTTCGATCTACACGCCTATTTATTTGTGTACATTTTTGTTCATATTTTTGTGTACATTTTTGTGTATCTATTGAACCAAGAAAATCGCATTCAATGTTCTGTAGTTGTATGTCGTTTTCAGCGTCCGTGTGGAAAATGTAACAACGTTATTTGAGTCCTTCGCGTGTCCATACATCTTTAATGTGTTTCCTCACTAATGCTTCTTCGTTGCTTCCTGTTTATACACGCCTTTAGTTTTTGCGTGTGTTTGAGTTATACACCTTCTACGTCGAACTTTTATATTTTTCTAATGATATTTCTTACACTTGCCTATTGTACAACATGAGTACTTATACATAATTATATATTTGCGATTAAACTTTTCTTCTGGATCTAAAGTTATATATATATATTCTACTCGAATCCTCATCTCCGTCTCTTATAGAATTTTTATTTATAAATAATTAATTTAAATAATAAAATGTGTGTATAGTATATATGTATATATATATATTATATATATATGCTATTTGACGTCAAAATGATGTCAATAGACGTCAAAATGATATTATTTTGTTACTTACGGGATAATCTCAATATGTTACAAGGAAATAATTCTAATCCGAAAAGTGTGTGCGACTAAAAAAATAATAAAGAAGATCGGATCATGTTGAGATAAAGAAGATCATATGTTGAAATAAACTATCTAATTATAAACACGCCTTGCGCATTTATCATATCTCATGCCAAGAAACGTGTGTAGTGAACAATGAGATAATGGGATTACATTTAAAATCTACAATATATATATATATATATATATATATATATATATATATATACTTATACGCAAAGTTATAACCACGCAATTTTCTTCTTTGAATCTCAAAATAGAATAACCCGCGAAAATTTGAACTAACCCAGCAATATTGCTGCAAACTTGTGTGCTGTATGGGAAGTAGCAAAAAATCACAGCAAAAAATAATCTACAGTTTTATACCTCGACATATAATCAAGACAGAAGCTTGCCAAATTAAATACGTTTCTTTACTAATTTTCCATCTATCATTTTTGGATATATCATATAAACTTAAAATAAGGCTGTTTGAAAATATATATCTTGAATATACGCGCGCATGCGTGTAATATTTTCACTAGCGGCTGCCTAATGTTGATTAGGATTCTAATGTTGATATGCCGGATTTTCCTTGCCTAATGATAGTAAAAGTATAAAGTATGTATAATATAATAGTGACGTAAATATATTTTAATACCCATTATAATGGGTGCAAAGATAGACTTGCTTATATTGCCGATTGATAACACAGGATTAAATAAATAAAAGCATTTTAGATACGATATTTAATATATATTGTTCCGATATTTGTAATTTTTGTGTATTTGCAATTTTTTATTTTAAGACTTGCGTCACCGACGTGGTATATATTTATTTATCTCGTCGGTAACTGCGCACAATAAAGAAAATATATATGTATATATATAGGAACAGGAATATTAATATAATTATAAATATATATTAGAAGAATAAAAATTATAAAAAATAAACGCAATAAAGTTTAAACACAAAATGAGAAGAATATAAAATAAAGAATACAAAATTAAACATTGATAAAGAAATGGTAAAGAATTAAATCTCATTTCAGGTCAAAAATAACTAATTGAAGTTAAAAATTAATACATTATAATTAATTAAACTAAGTTAAAAGTTTTAACTTCAACTAGTTATTTTGACCTTAAATACTTTTTAACTTTTCTCCCAAGTTAATTTTTAAAAACATTTATTTTAAATTAGAATTTTGATTATTATTTCTTCTAAAATTTATAATAACAAATAAAGAAATTTTGATTTTTATATAAAAATATATTTTTGATAATTACAATTGATGACAAATAAACATTAAAATTAATAATACTTTAATTTAAAAATAATAATGTACGTTTATTTATAACTTATAAAAAAATAATGGTATTCAAAGGTAAACAAATATTAACTTTGGAAAAAAGTAATAAAAGTTAAAAGTTATTAATTTTTTAACTTTTTTCTAATTAATTATTTATTATAGACTAGACCTAAGGCTCGTTCTACAATACGTTGTATGTCACAGTCGGATGTCGGAACGTAAGCGATGATCCAATGAGAAAATTTCTTTTTCGAAAACAAAATTTCCTCATTGGACAATCGCTTATGTTTCGACATCCGACTGTGACATACGGCATATGTAGAACAGGCCTAACTGACGCAACGTTCAGAAAAACGCGCACGCGCGAAAAACTCAACAGTGATGCCATCTCACCGCACTCGTCGTCTAGTGAATAAAGGCATCGTGCACGCTTGAAATTCGGTCATTTCATCTGGCGGCTTCTTCGAGGTTCTTTCGAACGCTCGTGGACACGTGCTTTTTTGGTGAAATCTTCGAGAACCTCGTTTCTTCAGACTCGAACAGTGAACCTAAGAAAGTGCTTGGAACCACTGCAAAATTTTTCGATTCGACGATTAAAAGCGTGTTTTAAAAATTATGGAAAATTACGTATAAGCGATATCAAACCGGCTGACGTACCTCTACCGGACGGTCTGTCCGCTGAACAATTGTTCGCCGCTGGTGACGGTCTAACTTACAACGACTTCATCATCCTGCCCGAATTACATTGACTTTACGGCGGACGAGGTCGATCTACTGTCACCCTTGACTAGAAAATCATGCTGAAGGCACCCCTTGTGTCCTCCCCCATGGAACCTGTCACAGAATCGGACATGGCCATCGCCATGCCTGTCAGGTGGGATCGGGATAATTCACCATAATTGTACCGCCGAATATCAGGCTAACGAGGTGCACAAGGTAATTGGAAGAGACTCTTTAGAAGAATTGATTCAAGTTTTATGAAGAAGAACCCACTGCGCTAATCTTACATGAAATTGAATTTGCAATGATCAGCTGATTTCTCATATGTTCTTTTTTAGGGATCCCAAATCTGAAGGATTTGCAAAAAACATATATTTAAATTTATATATATAATATACAGGGTGTTTCCAGTTGAATAAGCTTTCCAAACTTAAAATATGAATTTAGGACTTAAAACAAACATTTATCTGGAAGTTTGCTTGCAAACGCTTCCTTGAAGAGATTAAAAAAAATTTGAACTATAGGAATGAACTATAGGATCCTCTATTGCTTTACACTAATCAATTTAATGTAATTATTAAATATTTTGTTCAAAATGACCTCCAGCGTGGGAGACAAGCATGCACCTACCAATAACAGACTGAATAGCTGAGTGACATTGTATTATTTTAAACAAAATATTTAAGGATTGTAACTGTCCATTA